CAATGAAGGCAAGCATGCCATGTGCCTTCATTACCACCTTATCCGCTCGTGTTGCCACTTTTTGGCAGCTATGGACTTGTACCCCAAGATCCCTCTGTATATCAGTGCTCCTCAAGAGTCTTTCCATTTACTGTATGCTTTCCTCTTGCATTTAACTCCCCCAAACTATATCATGTCACACTTGTCTGAATTAAACTCCATCTGTTAATTCTCTACTCAACTTTCTAACCAATCCACTATCCACAACTCCACCAATCTTCGTGTCATCTGCAAACTTACTAATCAGACTACCTAATTCATTCAAATCATTTATGTATATATTACAGACAACAGAGATCCCAGCACTGATCGTTGTGGAACACCATTAGCTACAGACTGCCAGTCAAAAAACATACCTCCACATAAACACTTTGCTTTCTGTGATCAAGCCAATTTGGTATCCAATTTACCAACTTACTGTGGATCCCATTTGGCAATCTTGTGGAACAGCGTATCATAAAGGACTTGGTGAACCTGGTTAAACCAACACCAGTTATCTCTCTCTAATGAGAGAGCAGCTTCTAAGGTCCTCTAAGACTATGGCAACATTACATCCCATTACCTGCTGAACTTGGATGCTGGATTTTTTGTCATTTATGCGCAAGGACCGCCAAATCCCACTGTGTGCAGCTTTCTGCAGTCTTTCCAATTTAAATAATATTCAGCTCCATTAATCTTAATGCCAAAATGCAAAACTACACATTTTCCTACATTATATCCCATTTGCCCACTCACTTAACCTATCTAAACCTCTTTGTAGACTCTTTGTATCCTCATTGCTTGGCTTTCCACCTATCTTTGTGTCATCCACCAACATGGCGATAGTTATTGTAAATATATTTATTGTAAGTAATTGTAGCCACAGCACTGATCTCTGTGGTACTCTATTAGTTATAAGTTTAAGTCGTAAAAGTACCCCTTTATCCCAACTCTGTCTTCTATTAGTTAGCCAATTCTCCATCCATGCTAAATACTACCATCCATACTAAATACATGTGGGCTCTTAATAAGTAACTGTATGTGCAATACCTTCTCAAATGTCTTTTGGAAATCCAAATATATTACATCTACTGGTTTCCCTTTATCTATCCTACGTGTTACCTCTCAATGAACTGTGATAAATTTTTCAAATGCGATTTCCCTTTTATGAAGTCATGTTGATTCATTATTGATTGCATTATGTACTCCTAAATGTTCTGCTATTACATCCTTTATAATAGACTCTGGCATCTTCCTAATGACAGAAGTTAAGTCAACTGACTAAGTGTTATCTGTATATTTTTGTGTCTTTTTTGAAAAAGGATGTTACATTGGTAGTTTTCCAATCCTCTGGGACTTTTCCAGAACCTAAAAATTCTTGGAAGATTACTACCAGTGCATCCACTATCCCTGAAGCAATGTCTTTTGAAATCCTAGGGTGCAGCCATGAGTTCCAGGGACCTACAGGCCGTTAGTCCTCATAGTTTCTCTAGGATGAGCATTGTATGTATTTCCATCTCAACTTTGGCCCCTTGATTATTTAGTATTTCTGGGATCCTATTCGCGTCTTCTCCCTTGAAGACTAATGAAAGTATTTAGTCAACTCCTCTGCCATTTCCTGGTTCTCCATTATTACCTCCCCAGCCTCATTCTCTTTGGGATTTGTGTTTGTTTTAGCTTCTCTCTGCCTTTTTATACATTTACAGAAGCTTTTACAGTCTGTTTTCATATTACTTATTAGTTTGTTCTCATAAGTTATCTTCTCTCTCAAATTATTTTTTGCTCATCCTTTGTTAACTTTTTAAACTCCCTCAATCTTCTGGGTTACCATTAATCTTTGCCACATTGTATATTTTCAGTTGATACTACCCTTAACTTCCCTGGTTAACCATGGTTGGTTTGTCCCCTTCATAGAATCTCCCTGCCTTACAGGGATATATATCTGCAGTGAGTTAGATATATTACTTTTAAGAGATAGCAGGAACTGCTCATGCTGGAGTCTGAGATAACAAGGTGTGGAGTTGGATGAACACAGCAGGCCAGGCACCATCAGAGAAGCAGGAAAGCTGACGTTTCAGGTCTGGACCCTGCTTCAGAAATTTCTGAAGGGTCCAGTCCCGAAATGTCAGCTTTCCTGCTTCTCTGATGCTGCCTGGCCTGCTGTGTTCATCCAGCTCCACACCATATTCTTTTTAATGTCTGAAAGTTTTCCTCGCATTTCAGATACTCTTTTCCCAGTCCATTCCAGCTAACTCTGCCTTCAACCCTATATCATTAACTTTATTTAAATTTAGCACAGTTGTTTGTATCTCAAGTTTCTCGCTCTCAAACTGAATGCTAAACGTTATGGTCACTATTTCCTAGGTGATCATTTACTTGAAGATCATTTATTAAATGTGCTTCATTATACATTGATAAATCCAAAAAACACAGATCCCTGGTTGGATGCAACTTATTGTTCCAAGAAGCTGTCTTGAATACACTGTATGAATTCTTCCTCATGGGCTCCCTTTGCTTATTAATTTCAATATAAGCTATTTTAAAGCACTTTGGTCACACAAATCTACAGTAGAAGAGAAGTAACTTCCTTAAAGCTATGTAAAATAGGAACATGAATTAGCTTTACCTAAAATTTCAAATGCTCAATTTAAAAGGATCTGAATTATTTCCATTGATTTGTATAACTAAAATATTTGTTTTGATATATTAAATTAGTATGGTTTTTGTGCTACTGCAGATTTGACAGTTGAAGCTAACCGAGAGCTGACGGAGATCCGAAAAGAGCTGTTACACGAACTAAAAGAAAGAAATCAGACATTGGCTTCGGAAAATCAGGTCATTGCCCATCAGACTCACAGCTTGACGCAGCAGCTGGAGGGGATGAAGCTTAAAGTGGAACGACTGGAAAAAGAAAATCATAAGCAGCAAGAAGTTGACAATAGCCAAGCCAGGGAAGGTTGGAGATATTATTCTGCTTTTAATAGATGTAGTAGCTGCGAAACGATTAAAAATCTAACTTCCAGAGTAAAATGTTTATTGGAAATATGTACTTATGATGTGCAATACATTTTAACTCTTCAGATGCTGATTCATATGTTTTCTTGAGGATAATAGAAATCTACTTTCATCATTAGGAAAGTTCTTGAAACCTTCTGTTTGTGGAATTTGATCAAATATCAAAAGGATTTTCTAATTTTCTGTTTACCATTTCTAGATGAAAAAGCGGAACTGCGTTTACTTAGGCAGCATGCTCAGGAACTAGTGGATGAAAATGATGCTTTGAAAATGACCATCCATCGCTTAAATGTAGAACTTAGCTGCTATCAAACCAAATTCAGGCCGATACATAACGAGGTAAAAAAACAGCAAAAATGGAGTCTTTTCTGTTTAATCGTAGAGTCATTGAGAACGGAAACAGACCCTTTGGTCCAACCAGTCCATACTAACAATAACCCCGAACTGAACTATCCCACCTGCCTGCACCCAGCTCACATCCCTCCAAATCTTACTTAGCCATGTACTTATTTAATGTCTTTTAAACGTTGTAACTGTACCTTCATCCATCATTTCCTTTGGAAGTTCGTTCCACACACAATGTATAAATAATTGTCCCTCATGTCTTTATTAAAATTTTTCTCCTCTTAAAAATATGCCCCCTAATCTTGAACTCCCCCGTCTAAGGGAGAAAAGAATGTTTCAAGTCAAGATGAGCTTACAACCGGATATTCCCATCATGACCAAGACCCTTTCTTTTAATGTTGGCTGATCAACATTGACTTTAGTAACTTATAAGTCAGCACCTCTCGCCGCAACACCATAATTTAAATTTATTCATAAATTTGAATTTGTGCTGTAGCCCATACTTTGCCCAAAAGCTGTGTGTTAATGCATCTGTATGCCTGACAGAAAATGCAGCACTTTGATACGAACATGCAACAATCTCAATATTTAGCTCCAAACAATCTGGTTTATGTTGTGTCCCTGATCTAAAAATGAGACTTGCACATCAGAAATAAACAGCAGTATTACAAATCATTAAATCTTTTTTACAAAGCATTATTAATGTATTTTATCCTCCATTTAATTTCATACAACCAAGTAAGGTCTGTGTTTCCTTGTCATCACTTCCTAGAGACATTGTTAGTTTATGAACTAAAGCTGTTGAAATATAATCTGAACTGACATCCTTGTCAGTTATCATTGCCTCACTGTATGTTTTGGCATCTGTCTCAATGTAGGTTTGCATCTGCAGTTTAACTACGATCTATCAGAACTCTACTGAGAGAACCAAATTGGTCTTGGTCTTCAACTATGTGTCACAGCTTACAAACACCAGGATGCATGTGCAGACAGAGTTCTGTTAGTTCTTACTTTCCGTCACCACCAACCCCTACCCCCAACATCATCACCATCACCTCTCCCTTCAAACTATTGCTTCTTTGTAGATTTTGATGAGTAAGCTTTTGTAAATGGTAGAATAGATGCATAATAAAAATCTGCTTTGAGATAAGGAATTTAATAGTTGCTGTTAGCTTAGATTGGCATAGTACTGTTCATTCTAATGTGCAGGTACAACCTGGCAGCAATGATGGCATTAGTGGTATTGTCGCTGGACCAGTTATCCAGAAACATAGATAATGTCCTAAGGACTTGGATTCAAATTCCACCACAGCAGAAAAGAATTTGACACTCCTAACAACACTCCTGAGAGAAAAAAAAACCCATCTCTGTCTCAAAGTAGATCTCTTCTTCTTTAGCTGTGTCTCCTAGTTTTAGTCTCCTGACAAGAAAAATTGTCCACCTGGTCTCTACACTATCCAGTCTCCTCAAGTTCTTAGATTATTCATGAAGATCACCCCTCATTCTTCTAAACTCCATTGGGTATACACCTAACTTGTTTAAATTGTGCATTTCACCCCATCTCTAATCTATGGGATGCTGCACTGTTGCAAACAAGTTTGACGAACTGCACTCCTTCCGTTTGCTAGGGATAGCATTTAACATTGTCATTAACATCTTCAAAGCTGAACTTCAGTTTCTATTTCTCTCTGACTGTAGGTCCTTGGAATTTCTTCTAGCTGTGTCAGATCATCCGGGAATAGAGGAGGTTTTGAGTTAGCTCTTGAGAAGGCAAACTTCCATTGATGGATGGTTGCAGCGTGCTATGCCCGCCGGCCCTGCAAATTTGATATTGCAGGTTTTCGGGTGGAAAGATTGTGATCCTTTAAGGTGATGTAGGAAGCATGCAAATTTTGTTCTAGCTACTAACCTCAATCATTGTGGCATGTAGCCCAACACTAAATATGTTGCTAACTGGCTGCATGTTCAGCAGAGGGCTCAGTGGCGTCTTGTGGTCCTTACAGCAAGCTGCACATTTTACAGGTAAGCTGCACCCCCCAAAGGGGAAGTGTTCAGACTGCAGCAACTGGTGGAAGTATACCAAAAATGTGTTTCCATGAAGAAGTTAGACTACTAATCGAGCTGAAAAGCCAGAGAGTTCCTAGGTTCTCTGTGACGAGAGACATCAACCCAGTATGTGAAAAGGAGAAGAGAGGGCAAGTTTCCTTAGAGGACCAGTTGTAGCAGTGTGTACCGTCCACAGATCTGCAGAAACTCACGAACGCTTTTCTAGCAGCACCTTCCAAACATGCAGCCTCTACTATCCAGAAGGACAGCATTAGCATGGGAACACCACCTTCAAGTTCCCCTCCAGGCCACACATAGAAATATATTGCCACTCCTTCTGTGTTTTTGACTCAAAATCCTGAAACTGTCTCCATAATTGCACTCTTGGTGTCCTTCAACCCAAAGGATGCAGTAATTCACGAAGTGGCTAATCACTGCCTTCTCAAGAGCAATTAAGGATCAGCAATAAATGATGGTCTAGCCAGCTTTGCTCACATCCCAAGAGTGAATAAAAATGAGGTAATGCTGCACAGGAGCATCAGGCTAAGCAAAGGCACCTTCAAGGCGGTATAAAAGTGAATTGTTCACTTATGTATGTATTATTGGAAATATTGTTGAATACAAATGTAAATGGCATAGTTCTTTTGCGTGGTGTCATTTATTTTAGATTTATGATCAAGAGAACATTGTGATGTTCAAAGCATTGGAAAGGTGGGGGATTGTGAAGCAGCAATGAAGTAGAGATGATTTCAGGCAAGGTGGAGTCTGATTAACTGCTTACGGACTCCCTATTGGGAACAATGGGACTCCCTTCTCCTTTTTTAGCCCCTCCTCCAGCTTTTAACTTCCCATTGTACCGCTAAGTTTCTGTCTGTCCACCCTACAGCTTCCCACTTCCCTTTTCTCCCAGTCTTGCCCCTCCCTCCAGCATTCATCTCCCACTCCCAGCTTTTGCCTCACTCCCAACCCTTTCTCCAATTTTTGCCTTTGGCTTCTGCCCCCTCCAGCTTTTGCCTTACCTCTTCAGCTTTGCATTTCTCCCTCCTTTAGATTTTGCCTCATGCTCCTTCCTTCAACATTTGCATCCCACTTCTCCAACTTTTGACTCCTACCTCTCTAGCTTTGGCTTCCGCCTGTTCCAACTTTTGTCTCCCATCTCCCTTAGCATCTCCCCACCATCTCCCCCAGCCCTGTTCCAGTTTTCACCTGCTCTACTTTGTGCATATCCTCTCAAATACTGTGGATAACCCCATTGGTGACGTGCTGGTCTATAAATAAGTATTTTGCATCTAACTAACCTTGCATTTATTTCAGATATCCTGTAATACTGGCCTTCCAGCATCAGGACCACCACCACCCTGGCTTGTAAGTATTTCGTAAAACTTCTGGGCTTTTTAGAAATTCAATTCGTCATAAGCAATTTATAAATGATCATTTTACAATTGTCCTTTAGCTTTAGCCAAGTTTGAGAGTAAAAACATTCAAGATTTTAGAATTGGTATGAGAATGACTAGTTCAGGACTAGACGCTTAGAAAAAACATAACATAAAATTGTATAAAAACATATTTACTTCGAAACCATTGATTCCAAGTAGTATCTCCATTTTAAAATATTCTTTCAAACTTCACAGCCAAGTATGTATTGAAAATTGCTTATCAATCTTGAAATTTGACTTGCTTTTTACCTGCCAGGCATTATGCAACATATGTTTTGTGTCCAGGTTTTTGGTAATACACGTCTTCTCACTCTTGCACTCATTCTCTTTTCATCGTTCTAATTCCTCCTTAGATTTATAATGACATTAAATATGATTTGTCGCAGGTGGACATGAAATTCTTGTCACCCCTACTTTTGGCCTATGAGGACCGATTACGGGAAAAGGATGCTGCATTGCAAGTACATGAGGTAAGCTGGTGATTCTGGAAAATATTTATGAATACTCGCTAAAGGTTTCATCCTGTCTTTTTAAAAATCTACATGTTTCCCATGAATCTCCTTTGTTATACAAGTGACTCTCTGCTCCTATGATGCTGCTTGGCCTGCTGTGTTCATCCAGCCCTGCACCTTGTTGTCTCGGATTCTCCAGCATCTGCAGTTCCTACTATCTCTGAACAAATATTTTTGTTAGGGGATACAAAAACACTCTCCCTCCTACTCTGATGTGTAGATGCATGTCCATTTTGTACTGCCTTGCCTACATATAAGTTCAGGAAAACACTGATCAATCTAGGTACAACAAATTCTACACTTTCACTGCAGCACAGTATCTTGTTATTTATGCTAGTTCTAAATTTTTTTTTGACAGAAACAGTGACACATTTCACCAGATTTTCCAGGTTGGGTCACAATCCCACCATCAGCCTCCATTCCATGGCTGGTGTTATGTTATGATGTGGAGGTGCTGGTGTTGGACTGGGGTGGACAAGGTCAGAAATCACACAACACTAGGTTATACTCCAACAGGATTACTTGAAATACAAGCTTTTGGAGTCTCGCTCCTTCTTTAGGTGTTACTCAGCTGGTATCAGGTACACACACACGCGCGCGCGCACACACACACACACATGCTTTCTGTCTCTCTCACGCGCACACACACACACGCTTTCTGTCTCTCACGCGCACACACACACACACGCGCACACGCTTTCTGCCTCTCTCGCGCATACACACACGCTTTCTGCCTCTCTCACGCACATACACACACACGCTTTCTGCCTCTCTCACGCGCATACACACACAC